GGCCCCCGGGTCCAGACAGACCCACGGGTGGCTCGCGGGAGCAACGCACCCACCGCCGACCTCCCTATGGCAGAGGAGGTCGGGGTGGAAAGTTTTCCTTCAATAAAGGCCGACCGGCATTTCATCATTACTCGTTTCTAGAGTCTCATTTGGGGGTATGTAACATGTCAAATAACCTTGTGAATTCTGATTGTGTTATTTCTCGAGCACATAACGTTGCTTCGCTAGGCCTGCAGCCCCCAGAGCAGGGTGTGTAGTGCGCTACGCGAGCTACGAGCTCCGGTTCTCTGGTCCATGCTATGCCCTCCCAGAGAGAGGTCAGGCGGAGGGATCTGGTGAGTAGTGGTGTGTGTGCTTCGGCCGAACGCGTGTTAGCATCTCTTGAGCTACTAGGCTAACACGGGGTCTCCCACTCCAGGGGCTCGCCCCCCCTCCATGAGGCAACCTGACTCCTGCTCAGGTTGGAATGAAAACCTGAGGCCACTCCAGCCCTTTATGGAACCGGTTGGACACCCCTGCCTTGGACCCTCCTGCATCGGAAGGAACGACTCAGAAAAACAACAACAATTTTCATTGAGAGAAGAAACAGATAATAATGCAGAACGAGGCCGAGGAAGTTTCAATTTCTGTTTTTGTACATATTTTTTTCTCCTTTTCTTTTCTCCGTATGGCACTGGCTGTAGATTAATTTGCCACAATATCTGTATCTGTGAATGTAAGCTAACCCAGGACATTTTTATTTATGTATTATCATTGTTATTATTATTATATTCTATTTCCGTTTCTTGTTTGGCACAAAGGGTGAAAAGACAAAAAAAAAGTGTGTCTAATATGGTTCTTGAATTTGCTTATGTTGAGATATAGGCAAGGCAAGGCAAGGCAAGTTTATTTATATAGCACAATTCATACACAAGGCAATTCAAAGTGCTGAACAAAACAAGAAAGCATTAAAATCATAAATTATTACAGAACATTAAAAAGAAAGATAAAAATATAAAATCCCTCAGTTGTATGCACAGTTAAACAGAACTGTCTTTAACCTGGTTTTAAACATTGTCAGAGAGGAGGCCTGTCTCACATCTTCAGGAAGACTGTTCCAGATTTTAGCAGCATGAATCTGAAAAGCAGCCTCCCCATGTTTAGTTCTGACTCTGGGCACTAACAGGAGTCCAGTCCCTGTGCTCCTCAGAGTCCGGGCTGGTTCATATGGGACTAACATGTCACTAATATATTTTGGTGCGAGGCCATGGAGAGACTTGTACACAAGCAGAGCTGTTTTAAAGTCTATTCTCTGAGCCACAGGAAGCCAGTGCAGAGACCTGAGGACTGGACTAATGTGGTCGTACTTCCTGGTTCTAGTCAGGACTCGAGCTGCTGCATTTTGAATGTACTGCAGCTGTTTTACAGCCTGTTTGGACAGACCTGTGAGCAGGCCGTTGCAGTAGTCTAACCTACTGGAGACAAATGCATGGATAAGAATCTCCAGGTCTGCTTTAGACACTATGTTTTTGATCCTGGCAATGTTTTTTAGATGGTAAAAAGCTGCTGATGTTACTGATTTGATGTGGCTATTAAAATTTAAGTCTGAGTCCAGTATTACCCCTAGATTTCTGACCTTGTTTGAAGGTTTTAGGGAGAGAGACTGTAGATGACAGATGACGCTCTCTCTTTGTTTCTGGGGACCAAAGACAATCATTTCAGTTTTGTCTGGGTTTAGCTGAAGGAAGTTGTTTTGCATCCACTCACTGATCTGTTGGATACAGTGAAGGAGTGAGTCCACTGGTCCATATACTGTGCCAAGACACAATAACATATAAAGCGAAAGGAGAGAAAAAACCAAAGAACCAAGACCAGTATATCATATGCAAATACTTTAGATAATTAAGGTCATTACTGGCGCTGATGCCAAACAAAAATAGAACGAATACGCTGAGTTTCAAAACCTCTTCGATAATAGGGTTGCATAACAGCCGTACTCTCTGACTTGCACAGTCCTCCATCACAGGGCCCCGTGGTGTTCTTGATGCCAGTTGAAGGGTCCCATAGCGAGGCTCTGAAGTCTTTGTCTAATGAACACAGCATGGCTCTGGTCCAGTGTATTGATTGCACAAATCCCTCTGAAACTGGAACCAGGGGCCATCAAATGAAAAGTGACATTGGTGCCAGAGTTAAGGGTACTGTATATAGAGACATTCAAAACAACGTAAGAAAATGAATGGGATTATTTGAGTCAGGGTCCCCCCACGCACTTTTTTTTACACTTTGTGTTCAGCGTGGGTTCTCTGAGGCTTTGATTTCAAGGTAAAAAGCGTTTCTCAGTGGGATGTGTCAAATCAGGGGAAAGTTTCTGAGTGTAGAAAAGTAAAACGCTGAGCTCGGCAGATGCAGTGAAGCTGGTCAGAGCAAAGCGGCCGTGGATCTACTCTGCTCCACGCCGAGTTTCATTCTTTGGTTTCTAAGGACCAGTGGTTTTGGTGACATTCAGGCAGTGGCGGCCGGCCAATAGAGGGCGCTAGGGCGCCGCCCCACCACTCACAACTTGCCATGTTACCTTGAATAAAACGTTAAAAAAAATAATAACATTAAAATATTTCGAAATGTATGTGTGTTTTATTTCAGATGTGGAAGAAATACTTTATAGTTTATGCTGAGTTGGATTGATTAAGCTCATCAGCGTTGTCTGTGTCGGACTGAGGACGTATTTCCGCTTTATTCCGAAATACTTTATAGTTTATGTTGAGTTGGATTGATTAAGCTCATCAGCGTTGTCTGTGTCCGACTGAGGACGTATTTCCGCCTCAGGGCGCAAAAGATTGCGCCCTGAGCCGTCTATGGACTCTCGTTAAAAGTTGTACATGCGCAGTAGCTCCTCTTCAATGCAAGAGATAAGACGATTTGGGGGCGCAGGAGAAGTGCGCCCTGAGGGGGCGGGATCGCCCGCGACCTGTACTGTCACTGTCTGTGACGTCCGTTTACAGTGATTGACAGGTCAAGCTGTGGGAGTTTGAAACGAACGTAAAGAGACGCAAAATGGAGAACGAGAAAAAGAATAATTCAGTTAGATCACTCAAAACAATACTGTTTGAGAGAAGATCATACCAGGAGAAGGTTGAGGTTAAAGAGCTTGGACCTGATCAGCCAAATATTACCATTAGTCAGCAGTCCAGCGACAGGGGGAGACGGTACACTCGTACTTTTTCCAGGACCTGGTTCAGCGCCAAATCTTGGCTAGCAGCATGTAGCGAGGCTAATGCTTTATTTTGCTTTCCATGCCTCTTGTTTCAAACATCAGGATCTGACCCAGCATGGATCAAGACAGGTATGACTGATCTGAAGCACTTTTTAGAAAAGGCAAAGAAGCATGAGCAGACTGGTATCCACATGCAAAATGCCCTCAAATTAGCTATGTTTGGGAAGATAAATATTTCATCCCAGCTGGATGAAAGCTACAGGGTAGGGATCAGAAAGCACAATGAGGAGGTTGACAAGAATAGGCACATCCTATCAAAAATAATAGACTGTGTCAAATTCTGTCGTGCATTTATATCTAGTCATCATATTCATAGCCCCCCCAGTAGAAAATTCCACCAGCCGCCACTGCATTCAGGGGATGTAAGTAAGTCTCTACAGCCTTATAGTCTATTGCACAGAAATACGCTTCAAATGGAGCTGCATCACTTTATACATTTGTCCCACAGTGGGGAAAATCCATCTCAATAGGCCATCCTTGAATAGAAAAATATGTAAATGATTCCCTGTTTTGTTATAATGCTGATGATTGGTTCACTGCTTGTAAACACACCCCTAAAACATTTTTTTAATAATAATATTAGTAATAAAATTGGACTGTCATTATCAAAAACAAAGGCTTGGCACATGTCACTTTTGCATGAAATAAATCTATATACTTAGGCTTTATTATGCTAAAACTAGAGATTTTATTTTAAATTAGTAAAGAGTTATTATTCATTTAACTTGTTTTGTGTGCTCCTCATTCCTAATGTTCTGTAACCAATGATGCAACACTGACATTTCCCCACTGTGGGACAAAAAAAAGGATCTCTTAATATCATGTATTGGTTCACATTTGAAGTTAATTTACATAAATAAATGAACTATTGAACCCCACTCTAGTTTTCCAAGTTTCACTAGAGTCCACCTTAAAACTAGTCCCTGATGCTCTCTAGAAAAAACAGCTTCTCTGCCCATCACAAGGGAAAGAGGGATGTGCGGAACAAAAAGGGGACAAAAAGTAAAGTGTGATGCATGCCAACCAGCGCAAAAATGTAAATACAATGTAAGACTTGAATTTAAAAAAAAGATCGCAAAGAGAACTTAAATAATATGAATGTTCATGTTGGAGTAAATCTATGAATCTATTCATCATAAATGTTTGCCTTTCTAGTTGTTCTACACTTTTTCTTCCCAAACCGTCAGATCCATAAAGGTCAGACTGTGTTCAAAGTAGCAATTTGTTAGATTTAGGGCAATTCCACGTAATTAAAAAATGTTCTTAGCAAAACAGTGACGAGAGGCAGACCCCCCACAGAGACACTACATATTTGATGCTGCTGCAAATTCAGCACTTGTTTAAACCAAGACATATTTGGTTTATAACTTTGTGTTCTTCCATCTATTCTCTTCCTTATTCTTTAATACTGTAAGTTCTCTCTTTGTGGATGGCACCTGGGACACGTTGGAATATACAAGTTCATTTATTTCTTTATTTCAAAATTTTATGTTGAACCAATATGTATAGACCTTTTACATGCAGAGTGACACATGCAAGATACAGTCCCATTCAAGGCAGGGTTTTGAGGTTAGAAATATACACAGGGACACAGGGATAACATGCAAACACCACACACAAAGGGCTGTCTGGGGGTGGAAATTGCCCCACCATCGCCGAGTTCGATCCATGACTTTTAAACTAACTCTTTTGAACTTTGAGCTTCACTTGCACCACATAAACCGAAAAGTGGGAGGTGTTTTTTGTCCACATGGATTTGCTGCATCACTGGACATCAGGGCCGGAGCCGCAGAGGGCCCCTGACTCCATTAATAAGTTGGTGGCAGTGGAAGCGGTGAAACTTGAGAGGCGGTCACCTGCTCTGCTACCTGAGCCCGGAGCAACAGTGGGGGACAGGAGGAGGCAAAAGGGCCATGGGCAACAGAGGAAGCGAGAGAGAGGAGACGTATCGGGTGAGAGTGTGTGGCTGTGTTTGTCGGGACTTCTCAGGGGCCAGTTTGTGCAGGTGCTGATGAATGAGAGGCCTCTTGTCAGCCTTCAGGTCAGCCGTGGATACAGCAATTAATCCAGGATATTTCTGCCTTTCCCCGTGGCCGCTGAAGACTTTTCTGCATAAAACAAAGTGCGAGCTACATTCTCAGGTAAGGACTGTTTACTTGAAATGTAAACGTTGAATAATGCAATTTACGAAACAGATTCAACCTGGGTTAAAATGAGAAAAAAAACAGTTATGTGGTTAGTGCTTTGTTTTGTCTCTGTTTTGTCTATGGTCCTTTTGTGGTCTTAATAAAGCCTGATGATAATAATAATCATTATAATAGATGAAAATTACGTTCATCGCTGAAAAAGGTGTTGTTCGGCAATATTTCCATTTATGCAATTTAAAGGGACAGTACGTATTATTTTCATTTAAACCATCGACATGTGTCACTGTCCACAGGTCATACTTACGAAACATACTTTTTCTGAATAACTGTTTAAAGTGGAGTTATCCTTGGTTAAAATACAATGGATACGGAGTCTGTCATGTTGGTATACAATGGTTTCCAAAAAGATTATCCAATCAGAGAGTAGAATGACGCTCTCACTTTGGGTTGCCAGTTTGTTAGGTGAAATGTATCTGGTTTGGGCTCTGCAGTATATAAACTTCACAAAGTTAGCACCACATTTTTTTTTTCAAAGTAAGCAGACAAACTATGTAGTCATACATAACACACAGAGTTGGTACCATTTCTAGCTAAACTCCAGCAGGTGGATTACAACTGTAATTGTGCTTAGGAGCTAGATGTGTCACAGACAGGAAGATTCAGGTCACAGAGGGTTGAATGTAATTGTAATGACTCCATTTCCTTATCAGACCACTCAGAGTGCGGATTACACACTGTCCCTTTAATAAGTGTAATAATAATAATACATTGTATTTGTATTGCACCGTATGAATATCTAACGGTCAATATAAACCTGTGTATACATTAAGATTTGACATGATGGGGCTTTCATCTACTTTGAGCATTTCATATATAATAAACATAGATAGATAGATACTTTATTGATCCCCTTAGGAGAAATTCAGGTGTCCAGTCGCAGCAATAATAAAAATAAAATTGGTAATTCTAAAAACATAATAATAGTAATAATCAGCAACAGCCCTTTAGGTCACAGCTGCATAGATTGAGTAGCCTCTGGGTGGAGCAGGACGGGTCAGAGCAGCACAGATTGAGTAGCCTCTGGGTGGAGCAGGATTGGTCAAAAGGTAGAGTACCCGCTTGATTCGGACCCTTTTCTCTGCTCTAGTCCAAAGTAAAATGCTAAATGCTTCATTCGCATTTTTCAAAAAGTAAGCGTTCCTCCGGTTTGGACCATGAATCCTCTCCACTCCAGTCTGGACCAGTGAAAAACCATGAACACTGTACTGCAGCAACATCTCAGGCAGAAAAAAAGCAAGAAAAATAAAAATTGATTAAGCACAAAACAACATGTGTTGTAAAGTTAATTATTTCTTGATTTTTATTTCCAAGATTGAATAGTTACCTGTTATCTGTGGTCTATATGTATGTTTAGCTCAGAACATGTAAATAAAAGAATGTTGAGTGACTATGCTTTAAATGGACAGTAGCTCTGCGTCCTGAGCAGATTTAGGCCTCTGCGACCACATTCCACTGCCCCCTTGTCTCAAATACTGCGTCACACTCGACTTGGTTTGATAAACGGCTCTAATACAGGAACCAGCAGGGTGTGTTCAGTAGCTGAGAAGGCAAATGAATAGAGAACAGCAACAATTGTGAAGTGCAAATATTGTTTTGCGTAGAGAGGCATTTGCATTTGAAGGAAACAGGATCTAACCGCACACTACACAAGGACATTACGCTTCAACTCTGGGAATGTATGATTACGATTCAAGTTGGCGGAGAGTATTGTGTTTCTAAAAATGCAAACGCGTCTCTCCACAAAAGAATTACACTACTGTACTGTGCTTGCAATCTTGTCACTTTGCTTTCACGGCGTTGTCACAGGCCAAGAGCATGTGACAAAGTCTTGTTACTGCTTCTACCTGCAGTGCACAAAATAGCCTTATGTGGTCCATGATGGAGGCTATTTATTGTATTTTGTCACAGATTTGGGTTTGTCAAGTAGAGATTTGATACGGTTCATAATTTGAGGTTGCCAAGGACCACACGGTGTTCCAGGACAGTTGTATATGGGGCAACGGTAACTTTCACCATCGATTCCCACTGTCTGCTGTCGTGGTGTCCTTGGCAAGACACTTAACCTCTGGGAACACCTGATGCCTCAGTGGGGCGGCTGCGGCTGTAAAGTGCTAAACTGCAGTTGTGTCCTTAGGCAAGACACTTCACCCCCATTGCCTAGAATGATTCTGATGTGTGTGTGAATGGTTGGTGGTGGTCGGAGGGGCCGATGGCGCATACTGGTCGCCTCGCTTCTGTCAGTGTGCCCCAGGGCAGCTGTGGCTACAGTAGTAGTTTATCACCACTGTGTATGGAGTGAAAGAATAATGACACATGTAAAGCGTCTTTGAGTGTCCAAAAAAGCGCTATATAAAACCGATGCATTATTATTAGATGGTAGGCATCTCTGACTGAGGGCCTTGCTTTATGGCTCGGGTGTCCAAAAATGTGTTTAAAGAGACAGAAGAAGGTCCTTTATTCGTTCCACAGTGGGTAAATTTCAGTTTGATGAATACACATACACATCAAGGCATTACTTCTGCGATCCTTATAGGCAAAGTGGGTTAAGTGTCTTGCCCAAGGACACAACGACAGCAGACATCAGTGAGTGGAGAAGGTCTCGCAGTGGGCTCGAACCCAAAACCTTTAGCTGAAGTTTGCTGAATTTTCATTTTAAGGTTATTTATGTTCTTTGTGTCACTGTTGCACCTTTTTCTTATTTTGTCATTTTAAATAGGGTGATTTTAGTTACCATTTTAGGGTCTTGGTTTCATTTTTCCTTTCTTTACACCCAAGCTGAGCCGGGTCTCAACCGGTGGGGGCGGGTCCCGGCTCAAAAGTGGCCAAAATGACGAGCGCTGACATGCTTGCAATACCAGCCCGGGCCGATGGGGGTGGACCCAGAATAAGAATTAGCCAATGCTAACATATAGCATCTTCTTACCTCTTGAAAACACCTTTACAGGATGGTCCATATATACAGTCTATGGTCTCAACACTTGCATTTCCAGAACACAGGAAATGCACTCATAAAACAATCAGATTGGAGCCACTGGTCCATAAGAGCCACTGAAACGCTGGAGCTGGAGGTGGTCTGCTGCCTCAGGACCCTCTGAACGTGGCTCTATAAGACTCCTAATTAATCCTAATATTCTTGACACTTGTATGTATGTAAAATGTCTCACGTGATTATTTTAAAACTACAAACTATTCTTTGCTTCCAACAATGCAGCAGCTAATCTGAAGCTCCACATTTCCTTGAGCCTAATTTGAAAAGTGTCCTTCTGAGTCAGGGTTTATCGTGGCGCGCACACGGCCAGCTGTAGGTCTGCGGCCCTCTGAGAACTCTCTCTCTCTGTGACACTGTCAGAGCACAAAAGACTCACTTGTATTGCTCTCTTCCTGCTCCACAATAAGCGCTTGGTTGATGTCACACCTAACCAGTTCACGCACATGTATGCACCGAGTCCTTTCACCGCCAATGGAAGTGTCACTGATTATATTTTTCTACCGGAGAGAGGCCACGCTACATGAATACATAAGGAACACATGGATAATAATTCTTGAAGCATCTCTGCATTCATACTCAACCCATTTGCAATTCTAATGGTTATTTAAGCTTGGTTTCATACTGTCATCACAAATGCATTATCGCTCGCCTGATTGCAGTATTCACAACCCAGGGTCCATTAGACTCTGCTTTGAAGAAACTCTGTGTAATCATAAAATACACAAACTGAAGTTCATTAAAGCAAAACTACTATTAAACTACCATTTGAATTGTCAGTCTTCAAAATTACTACACACAATAACAGATGACAAATAACAAATCATTTTAAAAACATTGGCTTGACTGGGATCCAAGCAAAACTATTCATACAGTATGTACAGTACTGGCAACCTCCACCGCTCACAGGGAGGGGTAATGTGATTGCCTGGGTTTGTTGGCTTTTAAGTTCATTTTTTTGGCCATAACTGAAACAATTCTGGGAGGATTTTGATGTTACACTGCAAAAAGAAAGTTTGTGTTAGCTCTCAGTCGTACAGGGATTATTCAAAACAAAGAAAGGCTGCTCACCCATCATCTGTACTTCAGTTAGCAAGTTTTCCTGACATTTCGTTCTTCATCCAAAGAACATGTTCAAGGGAATGCTCAGCCGCAAGTTGGAGATATAGATGCATTTTGCTCAAATATGGAAAAATGCATCTTAATTTGAACACATTTTGACTGCCATAAAACAAGATTTACCAAAGGGACAAAGCATTTTTTTTTCTTCTTTTCTGCAGTTCTTGAAATTGAGCATTGGGTGCCCCCCCCCCCAAACCAAAAATGGACTAATAAAGGGGTTCAAAATGAAAAATGAATGAGTTCTTGAAATTCATTGGTAAATCTTGTTTTAAGACAGTCAGAATAAACGCAAATTAAGCTAGAAAACTACTCTATTCAAGCATTGGTTTCCCCCAAATTTTTTGCAGTGTACATTTGCAGGTAAATCTTTATTTTTTTAGATAAATGCTGTCTCCGTCTCTCTCCTCCTGGCCTGGAGACATTTACAGTAGGACTTATAAACTCCTTCAGATTCATGTACGTGTGGATCCTTCTGTCACTACTGTATCATGTTATTTCAGTTCTTTATCAAACCGAAATACCCCCAGCCTGGCTTTTGACCCCAGACTAAACCACACAAGGGCAGTTAGAAATGATTGGAGTGCACACATGTGGCGGCATAGTGCTATTCCCAAGACGCCGGAAGTATGTGTTCTGTACAGCTTGTGTCTCGTTACGAACATGTGTCTCTGTATCATCCCTACGCCAAAAAAACCTGCTGATCCTTTTCCCTAATGCTCACCAGCTCCAAACACCAAGATACATCAATGAGTTATGAGGGGAAAAAGATGATCCGGATCAACGTCTGGGATTGATTTTAAAGGAGTATTTTAAAGAATATTTGCATGTCAAGTCATCATTAAATGACCCGAATATTTCAAAAGGCGTTATTAAATCATACTCTTTTCGAATTCATCTTTAACTGATAACAGTAGTTCAGCCGAGATATTTGATCATCAAAATTAGTTTTACGACCCGTAAAAGTTGTTATTGTTTTGATTTTGATGTCCTACCCTCCGCCGTTTCGCCAATCAGGAAGTGTCATGTAAGTCCGTGATCGAGTTGCCAGAACTCCGCGCGGCTCATTAATCTCAGAGGTAAAATAACATGTGGCGCAGAACTAAAAAAGGTCCTGTTATGACTCTCAAATAATTAATGACAAAACAAAGACTAAAACGAGGATTTATATCGGGATGCCTTTGAACAATTGAGACAGCTGATAAAAGTTCACGTGTGATGCAGAATTTTCTAGTTTGAGTCCGTTCTTCACGGTGCTTCTATTCGTGTGAACCGGTGTCCTAGCGGTCTAAGCTGTGCGCTTACGATGCAGGAACCCGGGTTCGATCCCGGGCTATGTCTTTTTGTATATATTGCATGTGATCACATTCTATGACAGATTGCTCTAAAAACGGTAAAAGATGAAGGTCAAGACGTTTTTTTGCAGATTATAGCTTAATTGTAAAAATAATCATTTAAGACCACATGTACCCCAATTAAAATAATGTTAGTCTCTTTTTGATGTGGGACTTTTACATGTTTGTCTAAAAAATAGGGAATAAATAAAATTGAAAGGTGATATCCTCTTGAGCAAACCCTGATGTTGATACGCTGAAGAAATACGTTCCAACATCCATTCTTCCCACTCCTATTTTGGACATCAATTTCTTATTTATTTTGCATAAACTATGTATAATTACATTGCTTTTATTTTGTTTTTGTTTTTTATCTCAAATGTCCAAATTATAATAATAAAAAAACATGAATCAAAACATTCATTTAACATTAGCACGGCTGTCATGGCAATGTGAATGGAGACGGACAAACAACTGATAAAATAATTCCCTGTGTTTGCTGCTGGATTTGGTGTGAATCTGGCAACCTGAGTCAGGGAGAGTGGGAGAGGACTACAAAATATTGACTGTAACTGCAGTACCACTTTTGGCCAGATTTTTACATATTGCTCCTTTAAAGAATGGAATTGCTTTTGCAGGATAGTGCTTCTCTATTGTTGTTACAAATTACCACTGGTTCTTGAAGTATCTCCCAGACCTGCTTCCCATGGTCCATTGGACTGATTGTAAAAGCCACTCTCGCTCCATATTGTCCTCACAGTCACATCATGCATGCATCTGTATAAACTCTTAAGTACTTTAAGGCTGGAATCAACAAATATGAAAAATCAGTCAAAAATGTCCAGTTGCCAATGGGACAAGCTAACGTATTGGGTTTTAAAAAGACAGAAGAAGAAATGTCAAGCTTGAAAGGAGAAAATAAAGCTACAGTTCTTGAAATTAGACTAAATGGCTTCGTCCCATTGGCAGATCTTGTTAGAATGTGCTCAAATTAAGATGAAAACCACCAATTCAAGCCTCATACCTCATATTTTATATTTTCTTTGCAATGTACCATCTTCTGTCCTTATTCATCTATAGCTTCCAACTCCTCCAGACCACTAAAAGGCTATCTTACAGGTTTTGGCTACTAAAATTCAAGACTGTTTTTTTCTCTTCGTGCAGCCAATAACTATTACTAATCAATTCTTTGTTTGCATATTAGCCGAATATTTGCTGTGTGTTTATGACAGAGGGACTTTGTTTATAGCGTGTGCTTCCATGCAGCGCGGCAGTGAGATAGAACAAAACAAAGACACATTAATACATTACAAGTTTGGCATAAAGAAAAACAGTTGTGCTGCTTTAATGCACAAAGACGACAGCTCACATGGCTGCAAAGTTCATTTAACTCATGCACTGCAGAGAAAAGCCTATTAGACGATTGCACTTTGAATTTCCATCTTAGTTTCCGTGCAGGTTTATTTATTTAGTTTTATTCCCTGTAGTAAAACTTATCCTTTCTGCGTTAATTTACCCTCCAGGCTCGCTCGGCAAAAAAGTAACTCTTATCTAATGCCTGTTTATAGAATTTAGAGCGTCATTTGAGCGTTGTTATTCCACCCCGTTACATTTGCTAGCTCGGCATAAAATAAATCAAAGGAAAGGGGCAGAAATTGCCCATGTAAATTTGTGTTTGGGCAGTAATTGTTGTGCCTCCCATGTGACTTACCTCAAAGTGGAACGTGGGTGTAGACATAATTACTTTCCATGTATATTCTCAGCGTATAGCAGTGCAATACAGTGTGAATTTATCAAGGTGAAAATAATACACATTCTCTCTTGTGCGCTGTGCTGTTACACTGCAATGATAAAATATTAGGTTATAATTGAGTAGATAATAGAGTAGATTTTAGATTTTAGAAAAATAAGTTAAGAAATTGCTAAAATTTTACGGATTTTGACTGCCTTAAAACGCGATTTGCCAATGGGACAAAGCCGTTTAGTCGTCTTTCTTTATTTTTTCTCATTCCAAGGGAGACATTGCTTATCTTTTTATAACAAGATTATTTTTGCTTTGTCCCATTCGCGTTTTAGGGCAGTCAAATTATTATTTTTCATCTCTCTTTTTGCAGTGTACTTGGATTTTCCTCTTTTTTTGCGATGCTTTTTCCCGCATTAGTTGCTATAATCATTTATCTTGCTTGCCAATAGATTGTGTTCATGTAACATCAGCACATTCCAAAGAGCCAATAGTTTAACGTTGTGATGGAGGGCAGTTGAAAGAAATCTTTCCTGGTAACTATAGTAACTGTCAAAAGTCAGATTTCTAGTCTTGAGAGCTAATTCTGTGTCATTCCTGGGCCACGAGCGGTCGAAGCGGACACAAGCTGTTCAAAATGAGACACCTCTGCAGAGTGGCCTGACGCTCCCATAGAAATAGTGTGAGGAGCTCGGAGTAGAGCTGCTGCTTCTCCACGTTGACTTAGGCGTTGGTGTCAGGGCGTTGGCGTCTCGCTTCTGACATCACCGTTTGTGGAGTGAGTGGAAATTACCGGTACACCCAAAAAATTGTAAAGCCTTTTGTGTGACATTGGTCTGTGAAATGCGCTATATAAATAAACATTACTTATTTAGTTAAAGTGGAATATATGCTGCTCTGGGGGAAGAAAAAAAGGTAGTGATCTGGATATGCTTTTACTTTTGGACCACTCCTGGAGGAATGAAGAATTGGATTGAAATATGTAAATATGGTGAAATTCCAAGAGCCATGGACATTCTTATAATCCGGCACACAGAAAAATATGACCTAGATTCAAGATACCTTTAAAGGTTGTATATTATGCATATTTCAAGACTTTTTTGTGAATTTTGGTGCATTCAAAAAGAGGTTTAGCTGTGTTCTACATGGCAGGTATGAGGACTGCAACTGTAGAGAGGAACTTTTATATCACCCAAATATATCAACAGAAAAATGATTGCGATAACAAAGACAGCCTTTTTTCCATACTTGAAAATACTTGACTGGCTGAGTTTCTTCTATGTAAGAATTTAAAAGTAGTGTTTAATCAAAGCGGCTGCAGAAAGATGAAGGTAGCTGTGAGCAAAGAGGGAGATGACAAAATGATCGGAGGTGCATAATGTGATCTTGAAGTGTGAGCAAAAAGGCCCTTCCCCGAGACACGATAAGCGCTCTTTTGTGATGAGTAGGTAAGTCTAATAATTGTCTGTAGGGCCCAGGAATAATGCTTTGAAGTGGGCCTTTGTGTGGAATAAAATCTTTCCTTTGCTCCACAGATGGAATAGAAGAATCTGCCTGGTCAATGTCAGAGGTCCACAACACTGCAACAGCCCCACACTGCACTGAGGCCCACATCACTGAGGTAGAGTGTCGTCTCTTCTCTTACATACAGGGGTGTTCTGTCTCCAGATGCAAGGGAGGCTCCCCAAGGCTAAAAGTAAAGAATGGAATATAAATGTTGCTTGGTGCATGTTCTGCTGCAATGTGCATTTGTGCAATTGTTTGTATTGTGGTTTAGAGACCCCCTTCTCAACAACAAAATACAGTTTGTCCTGTGATGAATTCGTTTTGTGATGAATGCCAAAGCAAAAAGGCAAGAAGAACAACGTCCCATTTACCATCCCAGACGGATGATGTGTGAATGTGAATAACGGCTGTACTTCATCACAAACTACTTTGTCTATTTTATAATGTTGTCCAGTAGGAGTAGTTTCAGTCTGACTGCAAAGCTTTACAGTCTACATCTGTGAGGCCAAAGTAATGACCCTCAAGAATCTAATAATAAATCTAATTTAGTCCATCTGAGGGAGATTATCGGAAAATAATCAATTTTGATTGAGTTTTGAAGACTGTCCAGAGATGAAAGTGAATCTACATTAGCCTTTCCCCTTAATAGCACAAAAAGTAAAGAAGATTAAATCATTAATATCTGTAATGATATTAGAAATGCAAATACACAAACCAGTTAAGCTCTCAGGAGTGTTACATATTGATTTTGATCTGCCGAGTAAAAAGGTTTGGGCACCTCTGTTATAAAAAAAAACTTTTCTCCAAGGATTTGGCTGTTTAACCAGATCCACTTAAGTATTATAATTTATTATTTTAATATAACAGTCAGGGAAAATGCCAAGAAGATCCGCTCATAGTTTATTACCACTTCCGACATAGACACTGGTAGGTTGTTTTTGATGTGTGACTTCTGTTCCCTCTGTAGGCGAAGGACATTGCCACATCAGTGCACAAGAATGCATTGTCTGTGTGGCAGGGGCACAAGGAGAAGAAAAGTGTCTCCTTTGCAGCAGCAGCACCAGCTGCCAGTTCACAATCTGCACTTAGTTTTTCTTACAGCAGCGCTTCAAGCCTGCTCAGGACGGGAAGTGTCCCAGATGTGGTGGGACCTGATCCAACTTTTTCTTCTACTTCCCACAATGTCTCCACAGCAGTGGATGCTGTGTGTGCTTCATCCATGAGATTTTTAACCCCTCAGCCATTCCGAAAAGGCAGCTTTTCAAAGCCGAAAAACTCCCAAGCCAACTTTCACAGACAGACTCCGAGTACAGGGAAGCCAAATGCATCCAGACAGACCTACTCACCATCTGATAGATTGGCAGTGAAAGGCCCAGGATGGAGAAAAGAACAAGTTGTGCAAAGCGAAAAGGACAGAAATCTGGAAGGGTCGCCAAACCATGCATCAAACAGCACCTATTTCAGCTTCTACATACATTGTGACAGTCCTCCCAGCGCCGTCCTCTCAGTTCTCTTGTTGGTCAAGACGCTGTCCATTTCACTGGAAGACCTCCAAGCAAACCCCACTTTGCACACGTCTACTTTGTCTTGCCGGCTCGCCATTTCCAATTCAAAGAGCTTCGGGATCACAAATCATAGGAGAGCTACCAGGTGCAGAGAGAGTGGCAGTTTGAGTTACTGCAGGGGCCTTCAATCAAAGCACAAAAGCCACAAGGTCAAACAAATAGCCCCTGCTCATGATGCTAACGGCGCAGACTCAGACCTTCAGTGCCACAGTGCTACTGCTGGATTATTGACATTCAGTGGGCCAAGTCCTCCTTACATAAAGTCTACCAGGCAGAAGGGGAATGCAGATGAGGAAGTCCCAGCCACCCACTGCCATTTCAAGCACAGGCTACACACAGGTAGGCATTGCATCTCTCCGAAAACTATGAATTCTAAAACATCTATGGTGAGATATGTCTTCCAGAAGATGATCAGAGTTAAGATTCCTTATGAGGAAAAGGGGACGAGTCTGTCACACCAGATTGTGATTTATGGCATGAATCACCGATGGACCTCACATCTGCAACTGTATGTTTAAAAGTCCAAAGAAAATGAGATATAAGAAGAAAAACACCACTGCTGATTTAGAACCGTAATATATTTTAAAGAAGGACGGGAAAGTCAAATTGATTTCTTAGTTGCATGAAAAGAAAGGTGTTTATGTAGAAAATAATAATGGGCCACTGTTGTGTGTGGTCGACATACCAACTGTAACAAGACAACCATGAATGTGGTTAAGATTAAGAGAATCCTTTATTCGTCCCACATCGGGGACATTTCAGTGTTGCATCACAAGTTACAGAACAGTAGGAATGAGTAGCACACACCACAAGATAAATTAAAGTATATAATCACTAGCTTTAAGCATAATAAAGAAGAAAAACAAACATTTCTAGCTTTAGCATCATAAAGAAGAGAATCTAAAATCTCTATCTTTAGGTTAATGAAGAAGCAAGAAGTATAAAATCTGTGAATGTAGTATCCAGTATATCTATAGTGGCAGTCTCGATAGTTGATGGGCAGTGAATGATTTTGTTTGTATATTGTGATTGTTACTGTAAAATAAATGTTTAAATCTAGTTATTTTGAAGAGTAGGTGAGCCAAATGCTGTACTGTCGTTCAGTGTTGTTTTTGCTCCACAAGGACAAAATTGAGGCCAAGAGCACCACAGCCAGGAATAGTCAGTCAGGAATCACCAAACTACCATTCGAATTCATGAAATAAAAAAAATAAAAAAACAGTAGGGCAACACATCTTCTCTAGAGCTGGAGAAATTACCTTTTGTAGTGGGAAACCGGAGCACCCGAAGGAAACCTACGAAAACATGCAAACTCCACTCAGAAAGGCCCTGTTCTGACGGGGAATTAGAACCCAGGAGTTCAATTCTCGAGATAATTTCATAAACTAAATTTAATTGAAATAAACTTCCTACAGACACAGACAAAGGAAGAAAGACCAACAAGTTATGGTGTGATTATACTTTCAAAACAAAAAGCCGTCAAATTGACTGCTCTGCCAGTTCTAGTGTTAAGATTCCTTTAATCTGAGCCCTGATGAAGAGGCCGTCGCTGTCGTGCCTGAGATGATTCTCTCTCTGTTCAACATTTAGACAGAACAACAATGAGAGTTTCTCATGCTCTCTATAGTTTATCTTTGGCTGATATAATACTGTGTAAAAGCCATACACTTACATAATACTGTAAATACAGCCAAGACTTTAGTCAAGAACATTTACATGACAGGATTAAAGACAAAACATTTTTTCCCTTGTTGTCCCAAACTCACACTCAATAAACATTCCTTAGTTTTCTAAATATATGTGTGTAAACAAAGATGTCCCTAATTCCCTATTTACCATTCTTTGTTTCTTCTCATTTGTTAATTAGTTGGCCTGAAGCTGTCACTTCTAACACACACACTATAGATCTTTCCCCAAACTAATTTACCTTTAATGCATTCTAACTTTGTTTTTCTGTTATCATCCATTATATTTAAATTCTTTCTCTATAATAGTTTAAAGTGAAAGTCATGATCTTTTCAATTTGTGAAGATGGAGACCCGCCCCCATAGGTTCCTGATTGGACGCAATTAATTCAAATCCTTGATAGACAGCTGCGGCCCCTCACCATTGGACGAACTATTCTCCTCCAGCCATTCGTACTGATCAGGATTATTCCATTCTATGTATTCAATTCTATATATAAGACTAAGATTAAAGATTGAAAGATTGTTTATTTGTCCCACAGTGGGGAAATTTCAGTGTTGCATCACCAGTTACAGAACAGTGGGAATGAGGAACACACAGCACAACACAAAGGAACAAAAATTCTATACTAAACAAAATAAAATGAAAATATCCAACACTAGCATGAAGAAGAGACAAGTATAATTAAATGTATTTAATTTTGACAATACTCCTGGGTCATATGGTCAAAAACATTACATACAATTAAAATGATAGACGTCACCTTTAAATAGTCATGGGGGTGGCTTTAGTATTAGCATGCCTACACGCCAGGGCATGGTGAGTCAAACTATATGCTCTCTTCTAGGCATGTATTTTTACCTGCATGTCACATTCACGCTGCGACGATAGGGATTCTACTTTCATGTATATATAAAAGTATTAGACTTCGGATGCATTGTCATCCTCTACATAATTCATAGCCCACAGCGGGTCCTCTGATTCCCTCTTTCTATCTATGACTATATACCTTCCGCACGGTGTGTACGTGTGTGTGTGTGTGTGTGTGTGTGTGTGTGTGTGTGTGTATGTGTTGTGTGCGTGTGCGTGTGCAAAGGTCAATGCAAGGTCTGTTCATTTTCTGGGCTTCTTCAGAACATAAAAGCTGAAATGGTGTGAAGGAACAGGCCGAAAATTGTGCCATAAGTCAGTCTGAGTGGGTGATAGAATACACGGCGGTCCCATTTGCTCTGTGTCTATCCTGTAACATAGTAAAACATGGAAACCCACCAGTAAACGCTTTTTTTTTTATATACACGCATATTTATATGGCTGTATATGTTTCCAAAGCAGATGACGGATCATGGAGCAAGCGAAGTTTTGAAGAAGATGATCGGGAGGAAGAGCGTAGCACAAATACATCCCTGAATACGTACAAGACCTGCTACTATCATTCCCAACCGAAGCAGGACACTGTGGATGGAGCCGCCAAGAATCTCAGTCTCCGAGTAAGAACCGCAGCTTTTTATAAGATTAGATTTAAAATAATGGCCTGTTGAATGAATATTATACAATGGAGGGAATTGAGAGAGGGGAAAGAAAAGCACAATGTTTGAGGCTTGCAAGAAATTCAATTATCAGAATGCGTTTTTGCATGTTTGCTGAAGTTTTTCCCAAGCATAAGTCAACAACCAATCCACATCAGTCTCTACAACTGAGGAGCTGTTGGTACTTTAACAATGAAATACAAATATTCAGTTGCATAGAAGTCAATCTATTTGGGATAGACACTAGTGGAGGGGGAAAAACTGTATTCTGTGCAGTATTGTGATATTCTAATTAAATGGATACAGTAGAGCAAAGTATTGTGATATAGAGTTTATGTCTGAGGTTTATGTTCCTCCATGTTGACTGCCTTTTGTGCCTCTAGTTTATTATATTTGAATGATTTAAATGATGTGCTGGACCACCGTTCATATGAGAGGTCGTCTGTTCACAATAATGATGTCTTGTCTGTAATAAGGTCCTGTGTCCTGAATGTTCAAGGATAACATTTTTTCACTAGCATCCTCAGTTATTGCACTTCAGATAATGTGCAGACCATTATGAATTAAATAAACTCATTAAACCACATTTTTTGTAATGCCTTTGAAGAATATGAGGGACATGAATTGCAATATATCCCAGAATCGAGTCGCAATACTGTACTTGCCAATCCACTCCTAATATACAGTGGTCCTACATATAAGCTCTTGTATACTGGTTTTTGTAGAAAATAGAATTGGTTTCATCTCAATCAGAACATATCCCACAATCCCCTTTTGCTTCTCTTACTGCAACCTAAAGTGGTGACAGAGAGTGACACTATGTTAAGAAAAGCACTGGTTAGACCCGCCCATGCTCCCCTGATTGGTCAAAGTTTTTTGTAAATCCTCCAAATCCTTAAGGCCCCTTGTCACTGGGTTACTGGTTGTATTTCTGCCAAGAGGAGGGACTGTTTTTTTACATATCATTGTTGAAAATTACTTACTGCACGTATTATAACATCACCTTGTATCTGCAATCCACTTGTGTGTATCTTAGTCATTTATTGTCTTCTTGATTTTTTTTTCAAATTAAGAAGTAATTACTTATTTAAATATATAATTGGACCCACTTACCTAGGGCTGTAGTTAATGATTATTTTAATAAATGATTGGTTGGTTGATTATTCTTTTAATTAAACGATTAGTTGTTTAAATTATGAATGTGCAGTAAGTATGTTTTGTTTTTTATTCAAACAAAATAAAGCCAAAGATATGACACAGAGAGAACAATCTTCATAGAGGCGACCTTTTGTTCGATTAATGATAATTTATGGACATGTGGGAGCCATAACAATTCATAACTTCGTGTTTGAATCTGTGTATGGCTCAAAAAACAATGAATTGATGACTAAAATGGTTGACGGCTACTTTTACAATTGATCAGATGCGATGAATGGATGAGATTGTTACAGCTCTACAGTAAAAATAATGGGACTCTGACTTTGCTGTTGCAGAGGAGCCATAAATACAAGAGTTTCCCAAAGACGCTTATACATCCAGAGTGCATGTATAAGCGGTCAGCCAGACACAGGACACAGTGACCCAACACCAGAAAGATGAAGTATTTCCCACACTGTTCTCCCTTCTTTCTTACTGCAACTAAATACAAGTTTCAAAGCCAGGGACAAACTGGAGAAAATAACAATATTATTAAGAACCACAAAGTAATCCCTCTGCTACTTGTACATGCCACACACTTCACTCCTGCAAGATTCAAGCTCGCTCTCCAAAGATTCTGATTCAGGGTCACAGCTGAGGGCATCTTAATAAAAATACACATGAGAGGAGTAAATGTTACCTTTCTTTCGCACTAATATTTCATGAAGTTTTTTTTTTAGGACATGACCTTGTGTTGTGCCGTCTCCTTGGTGACTATATCTGTGATATGTCTAAACTCATACCTCAGCAAAGCCATATTATTAACCATTAATGAAAATTATGTCTCAATCAAATCAATCAAAAAATGAGAGGTTATTGCATGTCTGTGAGGAACATTATTTTCTGTATTGAAGTTTTCTTTATATTATCTTTTTGTTTTTTGCGATTATTCTAAACCATCCAGTTTGAATGGTTCTAATGACTTTTCTCTTTTTTACTCTTTAACTTTGACAAACCTCTGTCTCAAAGTACAGTGCTCAGTCTTTCTCAGATGGTGATGGTGAATAACGCCCGTGGCCACAGCTGCCTTGGGGTTAAAGTGGCTGTTAATATGTGCCATCCTGCAGCTCATCCAATCATGGGACAAAGTTTTTACATTGCATTGTTTGAAGAGCTGGGTTTATTCTGCTGTGTCTTCAGGAGGCACTGGAGCTGTTCCGACCAGACTTCATCAGCCGCTCTCAGAGCAGACTGCAGCAGCTGGAGCTGAGGACCAGGACCAGGACCAGGACTAGGACCAGGAACGGCCCAGGCTCGCTGCACGGCCTGGGGGAAGATCCAGGCAAACACTGGAGGAACTGCACCACACCGGATTCACTTAGCGGTGAGTGCTGCAACTCACAGAAACAGTGCTTTTACATACATGTGTTTCACTGGCAGTAAACCAACACTCAAACACCAACAGCTTCGCTTCACACTTCACATGTGGAAATGATCATTTTTCTTCATAAACATTTTAAGTTGAGGTTCTTGGCTTACTACTACTACTTTACATAGCAGTTACTTTACTTGAAACTACAAACCAAACATAGAAAAGCTAAAACTTTCTACAATTATAGCTTAATGACAAGTGAAATCTTCAATAATGTTGTAAATGTAAGAAGAGCATGATCAAAGCCATGACAAATCAAGGTTCAAAGCATATCTTCAATGGAGGAAATTGGTTTAGCAGCAAGAAAACATTTAAAAACGGACAGACACCGTCATAATAACAATAAAGGGGATGTCACAGAATATTTAACTATTTAATATTCACAATTGTGTTCAATGTGTTCCATTCATTATCATCAAGAACCAATTTATTCCACTGTCTGGAAACTGGTTAGTTTTTGCATTACATGTATTAAAAATGACTCTTACCTGAGTCCGAACAAATCAGACATTCCAGTCATCTATAATTCAGGGAAATAAAAATAGAATGAGTGGCAGAGAGGTCTGTCATGGATCCGCATCTACATTAAATTCAACTCTGCTGACATACACAGCTGCTCCAGAGCGCAGCCCATCCTCCTCTGTCTGCCGCTGTGGCATCTGTCCAACTTTGCCCTCTGCTGGTCACTCTTGGCATTACACGTGTGAAGTCTTTAAGAGCAGGACCAGAGAGTCACCAGGGTTTCCACTGTTTTTTACTCCTCATGTATCTTCCTCAGGGCAAAGAGCATAGTTTTATAGGAACTACACAAGGTCAGTGGATAGATAGAGAAATGAGAATTATGTATTGCTACGTACGTAATACGGCCGCACCAAAGGGTAAAGAAATATTGTTACTCAAATAAACTGCAATATTCAAATGTGTAATATTTTTTTATTTTTTTTGCTTTTTTTTTTCTTGAGCGAAATAACATGGTGGTTCCAACATGCACACTGAGGGAATGAAACATGTATTATAGATGTCTGGTCATACAATATTGTTCAAAAGTCCAGTTCAACTTACAACGCAAAACTAATTTATGACTCATTACACGCACAGTGAGATACATCAAGCCTGCATTTGCTATTTTTTTTGTCGATAATTGGTTCACAGCTGTAAAACAAATAAAAACAATGAAATAATCTCCAAAAATGTGGTTCTTTTGACAAAAATATAACTAACAAAGGCTATGGCTTATGTCACTTTGCGTTTAATGAGTCTGAATCACATATTGGCAGATTAAGAAATAAATGAACTTTTGAGCTAGCTAATTATTTTCTGAGTTTCACCTGGACATACACACGGTTTAACAATAATGTGCAGCTCTTAATCGCGAGTCATAGCATCTTTTGGTTTCATTACTTCTTTTAGTTGTTTCAATGTTCATTACCTCCTTCATGGTGGTGTTCCTGGTACATCCCACCGGGAGGAGCCCCCGGGGAATACCAAGTTCACGTTGGAGGGACTATGTCTCTCATCTGGTCTGGGAACGCCTCAGGATTCCCGCGGATGAGCTGGAGGAAGTGTGTGTGGATGGATGGATGTATGAGTAAGATTCATCCCACAGTGGGGAAATTTCAGTGTTGCCTCGCCGGTTACAGAACAGTAGGAAAGAAGAGCACACAACACAAGATAAATGAACAATAACTCTAAAATATAATGAAATAGAGATGATATATTTGCTTCAAATTTGAGATTGTATTATAAATTTTGCATAATAAGGAAGCAAATCTAAAATCTCTAACTTTTAGATAATGAAGAAGCAAGAATCAAGTACAAAACCTCTGACTTTGATAAAAAAGCATGTATATATGGTTGCATGTATATTAAATTGCAAATTTTAGTGACAGAATATATTTTGTGTATTGTATTTGACCAACATCACACTTGCCACATCTAAACAGTGAAACCAGGAGCCTGTCACAGTAAAAATTAACATGTTTTTAGCTTTTAATGTAACTAATAGTGATTGGCATTTCCTCAATTAACATAAGCTCCTTCCATTGTTCTGTATGTGTCCACCTGTAAAGAAGACATCCTTCACTGTCTTTTTCTATCCACAATGGCCGGCTTAATTTACATGTTATTACTGATTTCTCATTCCTGTCCTGTATGTGTGTGTGTGTGTGTGTGTGTGTGTGTGTTTATGTGTTTGTTTGTGTGTGTGTGCGTTTCTTAGATAACCTTTTCAAGCCCAGAGAACGGACTATATCGGGCAGAGAGATGCAGCTGCGGTCCAGGCGGTGAGTTTCCACACGTCTGTCATCCCCTCCTCATTCGTCTTTCTCATAAGCAATCCTATCCGTCAAACGTGTTGTTTTTTTTTTCATCCAGAATGCTAGAGTTAAGACACAAAAGGCGGCTGATGACTTGACAGGCAATAGGAGCCACCCTGAGTCCACCTTATCTCCCCTTCCCCTCCTTTGGTCTTATCTAGAGAAGCACAGTTGATCGGTTGATGCCTGCCCGGCCATTGTATTTTTTTTCCCAAACTGGACACTATCTGGTTGCAGGGATCTCGTAACAAATTGGCAGGAGTTGCAGGACTGAAAGCGGGGAGAGTGTGAGACCTGTTTATCAGTGCATCCAGGTTTTTGCGGTCGAACTAGAACTAGATAATTTTCTGTCGTCTGCGATGTGCCAGCTCTGATGTTGGCACGGCCTCGCTCACTCTTGTTGCATTGCCATAGCCCCACTCCAATGTTTTATATTGCCTCTTTATGTGCAGGATTTATAACACGCTTCCAGAAGTGACCAAGAGGAGGCAGGAGGAGAAAAGACGAGCTGTATCGCAAACTAACAGATTGAGAGCAGAAGTCTATAAGAAGGTAATGGACAAAGGTGGTCATAAAAGTTACTTTAAAACTAGTTTGATTTAGTTGTGCCATGACCAGGATGGAGCAGTTTTTTTTCCCCCAGTTTTCATACTTATAAAAGGGAATTTAACAATGTCCAGATCATATAGAGTTATCCAGGTATCAGCCACCACAGTGCATTTGTGGCACTAATGTAGGAAAGTCATTACCAGAGTTAAAAAGTGTCATTATTGTGGGAGCTGGTGTCATATTGTTTTTTATAACAGCTGCACATAAACAGGAACACTGTCTGCTGGATTTTAATTTTTTAATTAAAAAATTACTGCTGGATCATCTGGTTTCAAGATGGAAATCTCCTTGTAACAAAACAGAGTCGTTTTTTGAAGAAACAATATATGTTTGATATATACAATCATATATTAGTATGATTGTTTTTTATGGATTTAAGTTCACACTTAAACCTGGAACTCTGAGTATGGGGCTGTGGCGTGACCACCCACCCCCAGGATCCAGGGATTTTGAATACAAAATATTGTGAAAGATTGAAAGCCAGCTGATGGCTGATCAGCTAAATGCAGTGAGTAATAACCAATAGACCTATATTTTTGAAACTTTAAAATCCCAACGCAATGAAGACATACAGTATTTGCAGAATTGTACTTCTTGATTGGGCTGAAAAACAGTGTTAACCCCTGTTGTTGTGTCTATAAACTCTTACAGTAATATTTGGATTTTTCAAAACTCTCAGGAAATGGTAATGCACATTTCACGTCCAGAACCAGATCAAACTACCACGTTACAGGTCCATTTCAAGAATTAATTACCTGGAGAACCCTTTTTTCCGGTTTGTTTCAGAAATATTATTTTTTTCTATTCAACATTGTTTGTATTTTGTGAACAAATCAATCAGATCACAGCATGCTGCCTTTATCATACCAGAAAACAGATTATAGTTTACATACTGAGGGCTGGTAATGTACCGGTCTAAAGATGTGACAGAGGCCAGAAGCAAAGGCATGTGAAAACTATAGAACCAAACCGCTTCAAGAGCAACTAGTGACATTGATTTGATCACAGTTTACAGTATACAGTTAACCATGGTTTCAAAGTTAGGTACTTCAGCTGCTCTGGTCCTGGCTCTGGTCCTGGCTCTGGTCCTGGCTCTGGTCCTGGCTCTGGTCCTGGCTCTGGTCCTGGCTCTGGTCCTGGCTCTGGTCCTGACTAAGCCGAACAAAAATATCTGGAGCTGGTTGCCCATATATGCTGCATTCTGGCGACCACTGCTCCTGACAGAGGCCCCTATAGCGGCAATGAAGGATGGCTCCAATGCAGGGGACAAATTTCCCTACGGGGACAAAGAGTGTGATCATTATTTTGCCTCGGAGTTAATCGTATTTATTTATTTACTTACTGGTGACATTTTTATATTCCATTATACAATGCAGACATACAAACAAATACAGAAAGGAAGAAACAGACAACATTGTGAGCATTTACGTGTGTGTGTGTGTGTGTGTGTGTGTGTGTGTGTGTTTGCGCAGTTATCTTGAAGTTTGTTGCATCCAACCATGGAGAGGGAGATTTATTTTTTAAACATGCACGTGGACTTTTGTGGCATTGCTCTGAGGAGCTTCCAGCAGAGGTCGCTGTTCCCCTGCAGTAGAGCCCTTGGTTTTTACAGCACAGACCTGGGTGACAGAAGCTTTTGTGTTTGCAGCTGTTTCTATAATTACTTGCTATAGGTGAAGGACGCGCCTGACGCCTTTTACTCTATTGATGTGTTTCATTCCATACGTGCACAATCTCTCAAACGCATGGATTCACGCAAAACACCACTGTAAATATTCATAAGCAATTTAACAACGTTTCCTTTATGTGAAGAAAATATGCAAAGAAGGAGCTGGGTTGAGGGCATTCTGTTTTAGACACGTCTTTCTATGTTTTTTTATTTTATTTTTTTCAACGGTGAATCGTTCCCATTATGACCTGACCGCAACAATGAATTCTCTGACAGCACAGTAGTGGCATATAAAAAATGTGACGAGAAACCTCCAATCACCAGAGTTTAAGATTTATCTGTCTCCATAAAATGTGTTTAAAATACTTGGTGACTATTACAAATATTATGTATACTGTATTCTATTGAAGTAACAGTACATCTATTCTGCTTTTTATTTCATTTATTTAATCTTTATTTAACCAGGAAAGTCCCATTGAGATTAAAAACTATTTTTCAAGGGAGTTCTGGACAAGAGGCAGCAAAAGTTACACACAGTTACAGATTCTAAAAACAGTTATACACATAAAATGATTGCTTTGTGGTTTTGCGCCTACACCAGCCCAGCTAATAGAAGTACTTTATATAAGAACATTTATTAGTTCTTTGGGAAACGGAGCAGATATACAGTATTACAGTTATGAAAGTGGCCCGACCTCAGCAACTCTCAAACAAAGCTATTAACTGGACCCAAACCTACAAAGACAACTTTCAGTGCTTTTTTTCCCCCTGTATTGTGTTGTCCTGCAGTGGGATGTTTGTGATTGTGTGTGAGGAAATTGAATAGTGCGTTCCTAAGCAAGAACTATTCCCCCAAAATGAGTTTTGTTCACCTCAGATCAGGGTTGATAAAAGTGGGAGCCAGTTCAGCAGCAGGAGTTGGACGATGGAGACACACATTATAGTGCTTCGGAGACTGAGGTGAAGAGGGCTTTGACGCACCTCTATTGCTTTTCTTTCCCTTTTATAGAAACTTCTGGATCAAGTTCTGCAAAGATAAAACTAGGAAGACACAAGGAGATCCACGTCATCTGCAAATCAGAATGCTAGGATTCTCTTTATGCGATTAATGACAATGTAAATGGTTAGAAAAAGGCCTGTGATGTAGAAATGAGTCAGGTTTCAGGTTTGTGACAAATAGTGAACATGGAATCAGCTGATAATAAGCTAATGACAAAGTTTATCATGTGACAGTGTTTTGTATAATGTTGTAATTCAATAAAAATACCATAATATTACATTGTGTTTTTGATCTTGTGTGTCTTTAACTTCTAGTGTAATTTCCATATCCCACAAAGATCTTTTAAATCACATTGAAATGTTGATGTTGTAGAGTTTACAGTTGATATAAGAAAACAATAAACTTTATTGATCTCACAACGGAGACATTTACATCACAGTATAGGGGAAACAGCAGAACGTTATGATGTGTAATGTGTAAGTGCAAAAATGTAGAATATTTTTAACACTAGGATTACCAGAATTCTGAAACTAAAAGAACTCTAGAGGAGTCTTGTTGACAGCTCCTATTCAAATACATGGAATTATGATCAAATCCCAAAAACGTTTAGATCTAGTTCCAATTTTATTAAAAGTAAGTGAACATGACAACAGTTAAAAGGCGACCAAATGCAAACTGCGAACAGTAAACATTGTGTTGCTGTGGTAACCAGGACTTGCTCTTCTATGGTGGAAAACCAGGACCAGTCTAGGACCAGCACCTTGGAAAAAGAGGGCTTTAACTGCCATAACACGTTGGTTAAAAAGCAACTAAAAATGGTTAATCAGAATTTTACATAAAAATGAATGAGGCTAAAGTAGATATGTCATACAAATTGTTGCAATAAATTAGACATCATGAACACCAAAACTGTGTAACTATTTTCTAAAACAAAACAGCCGACAGCTCTGGAAGACACTGTGAATGTGAGCACCCAGTAAAAGCTTACGTCACTCCACTCGTCTGATGTCTACGTGTGACTATTATTCTGCCTGCTCTGAGAAAAACACCTGTGTTTGGTGGTTGTCCTGGACTTACCAGAGGTGGGAGGAGGCGGGGAGAGGGTTGACGACGGGGCCATGCCTTTGCCATTGAATCTAAATATGCCTCTGGAACCTCCCGTCAGTGGCATTCCAAGTTAATCGAACTCAGGAGACATATCCCAGAGTGAAAGGCGCCTTTGTCATGCAGCTCTAAACCAGAGATGAGACGCTAATAAGGGAGGAGGCTGCGGTCCACACTGTACTATAACGGTGGAATACATTGGTTTGGCATTTAAAACTAATGAAACAATCTCAATAGGCTACTAATTCACAGTAAAAGGCGTGATCGAGTCGGAAACCGGTTCTATGTCTCTATGAAAGAAAGCTGCTGATCCAAACAGGATGATCGATCAGTATTTTATCATTCAATGCTAAATAACTAACTTCATACATGTATTTCAATCATGTTCATATGGTGAGTCTACACATTTTTACTTCTTTTTCACTGCATTTCAAGCTGACAAATTCCAAATATAAAGTATATAGTATTGAACTTGTAAATATACCAACATATCATGAAACTATGGCAGATACTGTTGCTTGATATTTTGTACATTTCTCCGTAAACTAAGCCTTCCTCCTTCCTCCTCCGTCGAGCAAAGACGTGTCTCAGTCCGCTGCTGCTTCTGAACGGCTTGCTATCTCCTGTTTTGTCTTTTTTCCTGGAGTTTTGCCACAGACAACTTTAACAGAATGGAAATGATTAATTGGTCCCTCAACGCAATTGATTCTATCTTTTCAACACGTAAGCGTGGGTCTGGAGAGCCCGTGTGCCCGGACGGGACTTCACCTGCGGGGTATACTCTTGACAGCTGGAACAAGTTTCAGCCCCTCTGTCTGTCGACCCTGTCCATTGAAGATTCGGAAGACGTATATATCTTTGGCATTTTGGTGGTGGGAATCCTCCTGTTTGGGTTTGGAGCGATCCTGTTCTACCACAAATTCGGTGGCATGGCAGTTCGCAAGATTCACGACCTGCTGGCCGACAAAATTGATGGGATGTACAAGGAGCTAAGCCGTGTCGTGGTTGAGAGTGCCGTGTCTGGACAAAGGAGAGTGGTTTTAGTGGAACAGTTGATCAAAGATCTCGCAGCTCGTTCACTCGATGGGCATAAAACTCTGGAATTGAGATTGAATGACATTGTTTGTCAGGCTTGAACTCTCTGACCCGGCTTGGATTTGCCCCTGTGTACGGAGGTCTGAGGGCGCCGTAATTCGGTTTAATTGGAATTAATAGAATATCTGCCTGTTTTTGATTCTACATTGCATATAATATTGTCCCTCTCAGGCGATGTGTTTTTCTCCTGCTGTGTCTTCTCTCCACTCTTATCTCACATTCCTCGACCAAGGCCATAAACAAGGTCCCACAATCTACAACAACTCACACTATTTCAGTCTCCAGCAAGGATCCCGTTCCCCCGCCTCCCTCTACCTATCCATCTTGCTCCCTCCCTCCCCTCCATTCTTTATTGTTTTCCTACTCACCCCCTCCCTGATCCCGCCCCCCTCTGACAGCTACATTGGGCCGGCCGCCGGAGGTGCTCATCCCGAGAAAAAAATCCGTGGTTTATAAAAAGCACAATGTGTCTATCCAATTGTCTGTGAACTGTATGTTATTGCTCTCTGCTGTTTCTTGCTGCACACAGCGCCGCAAATGGCGAAGTGGCACGCTCTCTGCCAAGACAATTTCCAAGTGATAACTTTGTTACTCACGTGGCAATAAAAATGATTCTGATTCTGATTCTGAAATGTAAATATTGTAAATTCCACAGTCAGAACTAAACATGAGGGGACATGCATCTAAAATGTGGAACTGTCTTCCTGAAAATGTGAGACAGGCTTCTTCTCTGACAGTGTTCAAATCCAGGTTTAGAAAAAATATTTTTAGCTGTGCATTCAACTGAAGGATTTTACCTGCACTCTTTTATTATTTATGATTTTCATGCCGTGACTGTCTTCCAGTGTCTCTATCTTGTTTTGTTCAGGACTTTGAGTTGCCTTGTGTATGAAGTGTGCTATAAACTTGCCCTTCCATAATCGTAACATTTCTGCTCAAAAGAATAAAATCAATCATCCAATCAATCAAAATCAACCATTACAGCCTACAGCAAGCTGGATCATCGAAAACAGTGTTCCTCAAGCTTTTAGAGCCGTGACAAAGCTTTGTGATTGCGAACATGACAACATTTAAACTCTACAGATACTTTTAAAGATGCAGTCCGTGATTTTTTCCAGACGTATTTTTTTAAATATTGTGGGAAAACGTTCTCTAAACCCTAAAAGTAATGAAGTTATGTGTTTTCAAATAGTAATGGAATCGACCAGAGTCTACAAAAATTACTAGGAGCGGACCGAAATAAATAAACCAATGAGATTTGTTCATCCACAACGAACCAATGGGATGTGTTCACCCCCTTCACCCTCTTCCTGTTTCTCGCGATCAGATTTTCTAAAACCTAAAAGGGCTCAACAGAAAATGCCAATTTCACATTTGCCACCCCCTCTCTCTGTTGTGACAAAGAAAAGAAAATACTGGATGTTTGGTTTGGTGGAGAGGGAGGGGAGGGGGGGAGTGGTTTCCAGTTGGTGCTACAGCTAAGCTAACAACATCGCTTACTGTACCTTTAACAAAGCAAAGTCATTCTCATCAATATTTAAAAAATCAAACACGCACGGAAATCTCTTTCTACTCATCTCACATATTTTTTTTGACTAAGCAGTGGTATAGGATCAAAGGTACACCAATGTGCCATGGATCACTGGTTGAAAAACATTTATCTAAAAATTACATGCATTCAAATTTGCTGACTTGCTGTTGACGCTGTTCCCATCAGGGCCCTACAGGATAGAAATACACATGGGGCGTTTGTTTTGCCGCCATGTGGGCCGGTTCCAGAGGCTGAGCAGGGACTGACAGCGAGACGCATACATGGAGAAGGGCTGCTGTCACTCTTGCAGCCATCACGTGTGGACCTGTCACATCACTGTCCCTGCAGAATGTGGACTGTGTGAGCGTCCAGGGTCTGAGGCGGCGTGACATGTGGCCTTGACTGATTTGGATGCCTGGAAGTGAAAACCGATATGTCTGGCTTAGGGAAAAAAAAAGGACTTATAAAGAAGCAACCAGCAGCTTACCGTGGCTAATTGTGAGAATCTGAGCTGAGCTGCTGATTAAAATCATTCGTCATTTGACTGGCAACCATGGGAGGTGAGTTGTGAGACGATGGTACAGGAAAAACATCCAGAGAGGAACAACCGCAGTAAATGATGTACAATAAAAGACAAGGCGCGGTTCATACACAAGGAAACTCAAAGTGCTGAACAAAACAAGATAATGCAATAATACAAGGCATTAGAATAAAATACATAATCACGATAAATTAAAAAGAGCCACGATAAAAACCTGCAGCTGTATGCACAGCTAAACTGTTTTTAACCTGGATTTAAACATTGTCACACAAGAAGCCTGTCTAACATTCTCAGGAAGACTGATCCAGATTGTAGCTGCATAAATCTGAAATGCTGCCTCCCCTTGTGTAGGTCTGACTTCAGGCACCAGCAGGAGGCCAGTCCCTGTGCTCCTCAGAGTCCAAGTTGGTTCATATAAAGCACTAAAAGAGACTTACTTGTACAGAGCCTGTTCCTTTATCTATTTTAAAGGAAAAACCTGCATGTGGGAAAAAATGAAATATTAATGAACAGCCAGCTGAATGTTTGTGTTCATTCATCTTTGAGAAAGATGCAAAGCCAACATAGTGTGTGTCTGGTGACAAATGAAGATCCATATGAGCTGATTGTGACAAAACAAAGATTAATTATAAACATAGCAATATATTTCATTTGTAAAGGATTTCTTATGCAGCAAAAATAGAAAATGTATGTTCATCAACTATATTAAGATTAAGAGATTCTTTTATATTTGTATTATCATATTTATATTATTGGCGACAGTAGCTCATTTGGTAGAGCATTGGCCTTTGAGCCAGAGGGTCATGGGTTCGAGCCCGACTTTCACCATTGACTCCCTCTGTCTGCTGTCGTTCACCTCTGGGAACACCAGCCACAGTGGGGCGGCTGCGGCTGTTAAGCGCCAAACTGCCGTTGTGTCCTTAGGCAAGACACTTTACCCCCATTGCCTAGAATGAGTCTGGTGTGTGTGACAGGGCAGCTGTGGCTACAGTAGTAGTTTATCACCACCGTGGAGTGAAAGAATACTGACATGTAAAGCGTCTTTGAGTGTCCAAAAAAGCGCTATATAAAACCGATGCATTATTACTATTATTTGCCACAGTGGGGAATTTTCAGTGTTGCATCATCAGTTACAGAACAAGAAGCACACAACACAAGATAAATGAATGATAACGCTATTCTAAGATGTAATAAAATCTCAAAATTTAGCATAATAACAAAGCAAGCATAAAATATCTAGCTTTAGCGCAATAAGGAAACAGGTCTAAAATCTGCAACTTTAGCACAAAGAAGAAGCAAGGGTAAGGTATGAAATCTAAAATATAGAAAGTAAAAGCTAAAAAGGTAGACTATATGAGAATGACCTGGCCAAATACAATACTATTTTTCACACTTTGTCTAGCTTTAGTTCAATGAACCGACGATTGCAGCAACATCTGTGGCTCTGTGCCTACAGCCGAAGAGATTAGTCCAAAGCAGACCTGGACTGTGCACACAGACGACACAGATGGGGCCAGTGTGGCGCTGGTTCATCTGTGTGTAGGACAGACACCACTATCTCACCTCGCAGGTATTTCAGCATGAGGGATGGCTTGTCACTTCAATTACTGAGCACTGAGCATTCATTTCCTATTCCGTGTAATAAGCACGCCTGGTTCCAGCAAGCACCTTCATCTTGAAAGTTAGATTTGAAAATCCATACAGGGTTTATACAAGGTGAATACATCATAGTGGTGTGTGTAGGTGCAGATTGTATTCACCAATAATGTGACAATAAGATTAAGTATGTTTTTGACTTTGGACTCACCTGCACGAGTCCGATTTAACAGTTCCATGGAAACCAGCAGGAGGATGATCTTCTAAAGACCAACACGAGCCAGGTTTAAGGAGATGGAGCCCCCTTTCAGTATACTTGTTTTTGTGATACAACCTCTATGAAAAAAACATGGTGTTGTTATACAGAGGGGCACACTTGTTTGCTCCTTGCTTAGTAACAAGAATATTCACTTTGCTGCCTTCAGTGGCGGAATGCATAATAATGCAGGGTAACACGTTCGTGTGAACGGTAGATGAGCGCAGGGCAGGCTGGTGATGTGAGGTCACTCACGCTGCACGCATCATGCTGTGTGTGTCAGCTGATTTGCCTCAGGCTGGAGGCTGGACCAGAGACTGTAAGGACCACAGAGTGTGGCCGAGGAGGGTAAGTGACGGCGCTAGGACCCTGCGGAGCTCCTCGTGCACATGGCACAGGCTCCAGCCTCAGCCTCTGAACATCCTTCAGTCTGTGCTCTGCTCTTCTCTTTGCTCTTCTCTCTGGAACTTGTCACTTTCAGATCTTTCCTCACAAACATAGCTCTATTACATACTCACATTCTAATATAAACTCTGCTGTAGCCGTGACAAACTTTTTCAGCGTCTTATCAGGAGTGAAAGATCTTCCTGGTGAATCTTTCGCGGTTGTCCCCCGCTTTTGGGAACTCTTTCCCCGTGTGTTTGTGAGCGGACTCTGCGGACGCCGGTGAAGCCGTGGAGCTGTGTCCAGAGGCGGCTCACATCTATGTTCACATCTGGAGGTGCGAGCGGAGATCCTCAGCTGGATTGACCTCACCTCCCCCGGGGCTGGCATCATGACCGCGGGGCGCCGGTGGCAGTTCGCCTGTGGGCTCCTGGCTCTCGTCTTGTGCCTCTCTCCGTCTGCGGAGAACGCTGACTCCTCAATAAGCAACACTGGAACAGGTTTGTTTACGAGTCTGCACTGTCATTATCATAGATAACACACTCAGTTTGTCATCAGCGTGTAGTTGAGTCACTAATGTATGGTATACATCACTTCTGCTCTCACGTTCAGACACGTTCGATGTTCTAGATCTTTTAGTGCACATTATCACATGTTCAAGTTTATTTAAAACTCTAATATGAAAGCATCAAATAACTTACTGATTTTGCACAAGTTACAGTTTAAGATGCATTCTTATTTAAGTCCCGTCACTTCCTTGACTCTGGTCCTGTTGCTCGGATGAAACAATCAGGGGAAGTGTGTTCATTCTCTTGGCTGATGATTGGCTGATGTCTTCATCATCACTGCCTCATCCTCACTGCTGTAAACACATCCAGCAGGATGTTTTTACACTCCTGCAGCTGCTCAAGATAACTACATAATTATAAAGCCATTTTTTGTGTCTTGTCATTGAGGCAGTGTGCTGTCCACTGACGAGGCAGTCTCAGGACCTTGTATTAGGAGAGACATATATTATGGTACATGGAGATTTTTGACCAGCTATTGCTATACACCTAAATATTGCTGCTAAAACTGCTTTTGTATACAATGTGGTCTATTCGTGTCAGATGTTTTAAATGTTTCTGTTGTATTTTTTCTCCTGGAAATATGAGACAGGCTTGCCTTGTGTATGAATTGTGCTACACAAATAAACTTGCCTTGCCTTCTACTCTACTCTTACAATGTTCAAATCCAGGTTAAAACGGTTTTGTTTTTCTGTGCATACAACTGAAGGATTGTATCTTGTATCACTCATTTTTAATGTACTGTGATTATTTATGCCTTATAATTATTTGTATGACGATGATTTATTTTGTTAAGTACTTTGAATTGCCTTGTGCATGAACTGGGCTTGCCATTGTCCCAAATACATACATGTTATAGACCTTTGTTGTCTGGAACGTCCCACTGTTTGATATACATTTAGGTTCAGATGTAGGGTTTTTAGCTTGTTCCCTTGGAGATTGCTTGGTTGTAAATGTTTTTCCTGAATAGATAGACCTCCCCTCTCAAAACCTTCATAAATGCACCGTAAACTGTCCTTGGCCATGTTTACACTTGAGTCCTGGGTACATATTCAGTTCAGAAGCAATTGCAACACTCTCCCTCATATCACTGATCGCAACCTGTGTCAAATAAGGTGATGGTCTGGGGTGCACTTGTTTTGTGTTTTCTCATCGCCACAAAAAGTATGACTTGACTCCAATAGAGACTTATCCCAAAGTAATTTAGGCCGAGTGTGAATGTATAGTACAACACACCTTCTCAGTTGGAACATCTATAGTTAACATTAGCTTGTACCTTTTTCTTAAACTGCCGCTGTTAAAATATGTTTCTCTAATGTTTCTATATGTTTCTATAATTTGCAACTAAACTGTACATGCTGAACATCTCTCGAGGCTGTTCTCTCTATCTTTCTCCACACCTCTAATGATGTGACTCCAGTTTGTTTCTTTTACGTATTGCCCACACTGCAAACAATGATGAAAGATGCCTTAAAACAAGATTTGACAATGGGACAAGAACATATAAGATAAGATAAGCGATAAGATAGGCTTTATTGATCTCACAATGGAGAAATTTACACATTTGGCATGGATAGAATCACTCAGATTGTGGAAATGACAGAAGTGTCATGTTAAAGGTTAGAAATATAGTTCCATTGGCAAACCTTGTTTTAAGACAGAATGTACTCAAATTAAGATAAAAGCCACTCTATTCAAGCAATTATTAGCACTTATTACACGGCTCCTCACAGCAGCAGTAGAATGCTCCATTGATTTGAATGTAATTTCGAAACGTTCTACCGGTCATTATTTCTTGATAACGGACCTCTCAAAACAATAATGACCGCTGCCCATGGCTTATAATTCAGATGTGTAGATTACTCCGCAAGTAGTTCCGGCCAATCCGGAGCTAGCCACGCTCAATAAACGCAAATACCAATCAACACATTTAAAGACCTTATGCCGGGTTTGATTTATTTAGAAATACAGTTTTAATACCATTTTATATTAGAAGAGAACTACTAAAGGTTTCAAAATCAGTTGTTTTTTTTGTCTGATCCCCCCAAATCGAAATAACCCCATAGCAACGCCCTTAGAGACCAATAAACTTCACAGCCCTTGGTGACGTCAGAGTGGGTACGTTTCAACGCTGTAAGTTGTTTACAATTTGGTATTCGTTCTTTTTTGCGGATATTCAAGATGACAAGGCCGTGTACAGCGAGTGTGACATAACTACTAGATTGTATTTTTTTGTTGGCACTGAGATAGTCCAGTGGTTGTGTCGATGGACTGCCAATCCAGATACTGGGGTTCGAATCCCACCTCAGACACCTTTTCACTCTCAAAAAGGCAATTTATGTGTAGTGAGCAATTGTCACCTGTAGAGTGCAGTATTGTGTTGGGCATCAGTGGACAGAAGTGAGAAAAGGCAGTCCTGTGGCATAGATCCATGGTTTTCAATGCATGGGTGTTACCCGCTATGACACACAGGTTAGAGCATAGACAACTTAAATTCATGAAAAACACGTTCTTTTTATAAAATATAGGAATTTTTTTGCCGGAATCTCTTTCAGATCGACATTGTCATGCAATTTTGATATCCACAATTTTTTTTTTTTTTAAACCCGGCATAAGGTCTTTAAATGTTAATCGGAGAATACATTATACATATACAGTCTTAATACACATGCACAGAGGTTTTCAGAAGTATCTGTTAAGATTTTCATGACAAAATATCTGCGGTAGCGCTCCTTCCAAGACTGAGACACCCTCAGTGTAGGAAGGCGCGCTACCGCAGGGCCTTTATCCCCACCGCTGTCAGACTGTACAATAAGTCACTTTAAATGATCACTGTGTGAAAACCTGCACTACTATTGACACTGTTTCCAATTGACACTTGTCACTTTTGTTGCACATAATTATTGTCACTTTATTGTACATATATCCTGCATGTAAAATGTTTGCACATTTCCTCCCTTTGCACAATCTGAGTGTCTCTATCCATGCCAAATGTGACATGTAAATTTCTCTTATGTGAGATAAATAAAGCAAATCTTATCTTATCTTAAAAATACTGTTTTAATGCGAGAAAAAGCGATCGTAAAAAACCCGGAAGTAGATTCCGGGACTTTTTAGGAACATTTGCAGAGGATCGAATTATGGATTTAGGTTGAGTTTATGTTTGGGTCACTCACCGCTGATGTTCAGAATTCTTTATTCAGTTTTCATGCAGTTCGAGAGAGTTCTAGTTTGGAAGTTGATAGCCTAACTGTTACTTGCAAAAGCCATGGGAAAGCCTTTGGGAACTATTTTATTTTCTGTCATTAAAAATACCTTTTGGCTTTCCTAAGAGTGGACTGAAGTTTATTTTGTGTGTAAATTAGTACCTTCAGGGCGGAAGCAGTCCGCTTCGCCCTGTCGGCACTTATTTACCGATAATGACATGCGTAATATAAATTATCCCTTACATATTTTATAATTTTTTGCCGTGCACTGTTGAGTTATAGCAACTTCTTTCCTCTATGGTAGTGGAAATGTAGCGTAATGATTTTAGTTGAATATCTACAGATGTTTACGAGAGTAGTGCAGCATTAGCCTTTGATGTTGCTCAATATTGACTTCTCTAACTCCGTGTAATGCTTGTTATAGGCTTTTGCTACATTAGTGGAGATTACTGTTGAGTGAAGAAAGCCAGGTCTCATCAGCAGGGTTCATGAGCGCTCTGATGCTGTAGCACTAGGGCCCAGATGGACCTGAAGTATGAAGTATTGCATAGGTAGCCAGCCAACACGGCATGGCAAACCGGAGTGGCCTAAATCTGGCTGCAGTGCTCCGGCCAGATTTGCAATGATTATTCCACCAGAAACTAAGCCAAATATGGGATAATGCCTTGCTGACATGTCTCAAAGCTTGCCTTAGTTCTGTTTGGGAGATGATGATCTAAAATTGAATATTCACCCTCACAAAAAAATAATCTGACATCTGTTTTTGCCAAAACAGTTCAGTTCTGTTCCAGGACCTTCCCGTGCAAGCCTTTTCTTTTCTTTTTATTTCAATTTTTATTGGGAAAAGGATTACAACATTACACAGATGTATCATCAGCTGTTTTGTATTCATTCTCTCATTTTGGTAATAATATAAATATAGAGTATAAACACAACTAAAAGCAAAAAAAAACAAATGTATGTAACAAATGAATGTAAGTAAGTAATCTTTATTCATATAGCGCCTTTCACAGACCAGAGTTACAAAGCGCTTTACAAGTTTACATGTATGCAGAATGTATATATACTGCTGCAGAATGTATATATACTGCTGCAGAATGTATATATACTGCTGAAGAATGTATATATACTGCTGCAGAATGTATATATACTGCTGCAGAATGTATATATACTGCATATGCCCGGGTCCTGATCGGGAGGTGACGGTCAATAGTTTGAGTCTGAAACCACGAGACCAACCCGAATTCCAATCAGCTTATTGGAATGTAATCCCTAATTGAAAGTCTCTTGTTGCCTCTTGCTACTATAGTATTATATAGGGGTTTTTAAAATTTTCTTTTTTTATAATTTTTATTTTATTTGACATTTTTAGAACAGATATGGATGCACAAGCACACACAGGTCCAGAGTAGAGAGCAAAATAAAAGATGAAAATATGTTCCACATCTCCTACTCTGTCATGGTGTGAACTTTGTCATATTGGTACTTTGTTTTAAAGTTCATAATACCTACAACAGTCTTGACACTCGTGGAGATGGCGAGTAAGGAGACTTTCACTTTGTGGCAACCATCTTCTTGCCCTTAGAAATCCCAGCCAAGCAAACAATAGTCGTGATATAGTTGGCAATAGCTGAAAACTTAACAAAATGATGAAAAGATTGTTTTAAGTTGTCAAATGAGTCCCAATATGGATTGTAGTTTGAGTGATGATGGCCCAACATTTTCAAA